TAACCATAGTAATAACAGTAATGATAGTAATAGTAGTAATGTTAGTAATATGAATAATGACAGTAGTCATAGTAACAAAAGTAATAATAATTAGTAGTAACAATAATATGAAATGGTAATAATAAAAAAACCAAGCTCTGAAGAGTTTGCAAGGATGCAGCTCGAAGCATCTGCAATCTGAAGCGATCTCCATTGTTCTTCCTAAAGCGCATTATTAAAACTTGGACACCAAGTGCATAAGCACTCATAGCAATAGCAGTAACAGTCTAGTAATAAAAGTACTGCTAACAGCGCAGTAATGACAATTCTGACTAGCAACAAAGATTCAGCCGCTCAGCAGCTAAGACCCTGGCAGCAACGCAGGCGTTTGCCACAACCTTGGTGTCGAATCGGTCTCTCACTTTGCCTCAACCCCACCCACTGATCCAATCTCTTTTTTTTTGTCTATAGCTTCCAAAGTACATCCGTCTTTTGGGGGAAGGAGACTTTCCTTGAGGAGACGCCTATTGGCAAGCGTTTTGATTCGGATTTGCAACATGGTTCCAGGATATCCATTCCTCCCTTCCCTATACTATGCCAACCAGCAACCTCGCGGATCCCCTGAACCTGGTACTCAGCGACCTTACTGACGAAGAGTGCACGAAGCCAAGCGCGCGGCATGTGGGGATTGTAGGCACCTGCGACACTAGGAAAGACTTCCAGATGACGAACAGGCAAGCATAAACAAAAAACTGAGCAGGCCACCGTAACAATGATAACAGTCATAGTTAACACACGCCGCTTTCGTCTTACGCTCGGTGAGCTTATTCTAACCATTCCTACTACGGACCCAGAAACGGACCCACCCCCAACCCAAGGTTGCTTTGCTTAGCCTTCAGGGTTTGGGGTAAAGCTTCGGGGCGGCTCAGATATTGGGCCAAAATACGGGATTACATACCTGAGGGGTTCAAAGCTCCCTTGTTTTTGGCAAGTGCGCCCAAAGCGGATCCCCAAAGCTGCCTTTGTGTTTGTCTTTAGGGCTAAACTGACGAAGGAGGAATGAAGCATGCTATCTTCTGGCTCCAGATGGATGCATGTGGCGAACCAAGGCTACATTTAAAAAAGTCCCTGAACCTACGCAAAAGGCTCTTTTTCTCCGCTTCTTCTTCCTCCGGCTCACAATCATCAGAGCTGCAGGCATCAGAGGCTGGAGGTGTCCTCAAGGGTTATATTAGGGTTATATTGATAATAGCAATTTTCAGCAGGGCTGCATGGAGACATTGGACCAGATTTGACCTATGTATCCTTTTATACCTATTTGATTCAAGGCTCCGTAAAGGGGCTTCTTTGAAGTCCCATCTTATGGTAAGCTCCGTTTGCACTGCTTGTTCTGTAGCTTTTTGCAGTTCCTGCGTGGGGGATCTGCCTAGTGATGGCATCGCCGTTCTTAGCAACGCCCTGCGCGAAGATGCGTCAGAAAAAAACAGAAACATGTCAACTAGCTTCTCAGGAAGACGCACCTCAAAGCCGTCAGGACTGCTGGGGCTCTTGAACTAAGAGTGGGCACTGAGACACGTTGACCCCAAAGCACGGATCTACATCCTCGACCGTCCCCAGTGACCAGTCGCGGCTTAGTGATTGACAAGGGCTTATGATGTGGAGGACTGTCCACTTCAAGTCCTCAGCACAGCCGCGTAGCTCTAAACCTAAGGAGTTCAGTATCTAGAAGCTTCCCAAGGTTGACACTTTTACTTCACATTGATGTTACATTATCCAACATGAAGGTAAAAGGTTACCCGCTGGACAGCTAAGAGACCTTTAACCTGGATCAAAACGCTCAAGCTCCAAGCCATATCCCGGCAAAAATGGCCGTGGAGGCCGCAAGAAAAGAGTCTCAGCCCCAAATACGGCCTCAGCAGTAATTACTTTCTGGGGTTAATAGGGAATAAGGGAATATAGTATATAGGGATTATGTAGGGACTATAAGGGATTAGATTCCCTTGTTCCCCACTAACCAGCAATAAGATTAGGTAGCACAGCCCTGTGATCAAAACCAGGCATCACCCAACCATACACCTTGAATCTCATGTAATTCCAACGCGTCTCCCATATGGCCCCCGTATCCCATTCCAGGTATGCGAGCAAGTATACATCCATAATTAATAAACCCCCTTTCATTAATAGGGATTATACTGGGACCCTTAAAAGGAGAGGGGTTATTAATCAGGGGCCTACATTAGTGCTCATGATGGCTTCCTAGAAGGTTCTGCGGAATCCTTACAGTGCAGTACTGTACTTTAAGATATAGTCCACCTTAAGTAGATAGAATATGGGGTATATGGGGATCTTGTTTCAATATACCCAAAGCCATATTCCATCTACTTAAGGGAGACTATAACCCTGCAGACAAGTCAGTCCTGGAGTCCAATGCTTCCTGAAGATCCACAGGCGGAGGTATGAGCCACGGGTCTTGACCTTGGCTGGCAAAAAGCGCCATGTGCGGGTTATAGCTCAAAGATCAGGGCCTTTTTGTCCTAGTGGCAGGAACCGACATCATTCTATTTAAGCCCTGGCTTCCAAGAAAAAACTAGGATTTTGTGTACATCAGGCACCCTTCCCGGAGAACATTAGCGGCTAATCACTAACGTCCTTCTCACGGGTGCGTTTGGATCTAAAATCAAGTGTAGCAATATTTCTGTTCAAACCCTGCTTTCCAAACAAGCCTATAGGCATCTGTGTACTTCAGGCAGCAGGTGTTCCATGCCTTCTCGGAAAACATTAGCGTCCTTCTCACAGGTTCGTTTGGACCTAAAATCGGCAAGTGTGGCACGTCGGGGTAAGTGATTTGTCAGCTTGCAAGGGTTCCCATAGTTGCAGTAGTTATGGTGCCTGTCTGAATACCCTGAAAACATTACCGCCGTATTGTGATGGGGGGGGGCATTGAAAACCCTATAGGCTTGATAGCCCTTATATGAACCGTATGGTATTGATAGTTGCACAACCATGGGAGGGATAGCAACGGCAATGCTGTGCGAGCAAGGGAACTAGAAATAGAAACAACAGACTGTGGATCCCATTAAGGCGGAATCGCGAAGGTTTGGGGCGGCCAGTTGGCCCAAATACGGTTGAAAACCGGGACATCTGCAAGGAGAAGTAAATAGAGCCCACATACCCGCAAATAGAACCTTGGTAGACACCATTCTTGGGCAGTTGGACACTCTGGCAAAATCCCACTGCATTCTCCAAAGCATTCTCACATGACCGAGGCATCGACCTAAGCGATCCGACAGGAAATGGTTGAACCAAATCCTTGAGGATCAGGGCTTGAGATTCAGAAGCTTCATGTTGAAAGGCTTTAGGGTCTAGGAACCTAGTTTGTCTTAGGCTGAAGGGGTCGCGTTAAATGGAAACACTACAAAAAATATCGTGTAATTGCACTCACATTCGAGTCCCTCCGGTATTTTGCTACTAGGCCCCTATCTAGTGGTTGGGAGGATAACTTGCCGCCGAGGCTTGATGTCTGGACACTCGTCCATGTGCCCAGATGATATATATGGGGCTGACAGGAGTTACTACAAGGCACCTTTCGGTCTATGTACCCCGTGCATACATACCTGGATTTTGGGGTCCCTATCATGCGTGTTTGATTGGTTGGGGTTCCAGGCGTTGATTCGGGTGGGGCTCAGAATTTTGGTGGTGAGCATCAGGGCTTGCGGCTAGTGGAGGCACACGAAAGCCGTCTCCATATTCTTCAGGATTCCGTAAGGCTGCGGGACTGTTTGGAAGAGTATGAAAGAGTTACCTAGGGTTGTGTCGGGATGGGCTGCCATCAATTGTTAAGTCCCGAGGACATATGGAGGAAATTCATATAGCATCTCGATGCTAACCGTCTCTCAAACTCATCCTTTCGTCTCCTGTACCCTCTCGCAGACTGACATGGCGCCCTAAATAGCCCCCTCTTACGAGGGGAGCAATGTCTAATGTCCTGACTGGGTTCCATGTGAACAACAACCTCTCTATCGTAAGACACAAGAAAGAAGCCACACATCAAAGCATGAGCATTTTTGAAAAGCTGCCATGGCACTGTTTATATCCCAGAGACCCTCGGTCTTTGCGTAGAAGGACACCTAAACCTCTGGAACCGACACGTGGTTGAGGCAGAGTATACTCTAGCTGAATGACACAAAGAGATGTGAGGACTATAAGGGAAGTTGTCTCTGGCCTGTTAGATTTCCCGGCTGCGGCCATGAAGGTGCCTGAATAATCACAAGGACCTGGAGCAGCCCATGATACAACTATATGCAGGGAGTGTAAGGTCAAAATCGTGGTAGATGTCTAACCTTCTACATTCATAAGGGTCTCTTAGAATTCAAACGGACAGGATCTCTTGGATGCCAATGCCACTCATGGCAAGGACTTTGGTTTTGAAAAATATCGAGCAACATGGAGTCGGCGGTGACGAGTGACACTTGTGTGCTTTCGAAACCCTCTTGCTGCAGGTTCTGTAATAGTCAGGTCCGAACGTTGAAGCTGAAGTCTGTCGTTGGCAGCACTTATGGGTTTTGAAAAACATCACTGGTAAAGATTCCGAGTTTGAGCTTGCTACCAGGCTGAGGCAAGTCAACAGGTAGGAAATGCGCAGCAAAGCAAAGGCAGAAGCGTTATGAACCCTGCAGGACTTGCACCTTCTAGCCCGTACTGTAGCATGCCATCATAAGCTGAAGCAAATGTGCACCTAGTTAACTATTCGATAGTAATAAAAACATGCAAGGCTTCGTCGGCAAAAGGGCGCACATGCCGTGCTCTGCTCGCGAAAACTTGCAAGCACACCATTCGTGTGTCAGCGCGAGAGCCTTCTCCTTGCTCTCTGCAGGAGAGTCCATCTGGCATAGGAAGTTGTCCAGCATTTTGAGTCCATGTCGGACGTGTTTACCAGAAATCTTGCGTAGGCAAGCCTTGAACCTCGCCACGTTGGGCAACTTCTAGCAGTACAGGAGAATGTCGATGGACAACTACCCACATCAGGTAGAGGCATTACCGGTCACGGTGCAGCTCATGGGGCAGTGGGTGGGGAGCTCTGTTGCTTGCTCACAACCACAGCTTCGGGGGCAAACTGCAGCGAGCGGTCTAAACAGGGCAGGCATCCCATCCTTGACAGGTTCCAGCGCATTTACGCTAAAAAACACTCGGTGAACTCGTTTTCATAGAGTTCCAGAAACAAACGACGCACATTCCAAAAAAGCTACACAGCAAGAAATGAGCAGCACACCACTTGGTGTTGGTCACGGGGTCCAGAGGAAAGTTGGCCAGGGCTGCACAGCCATCTTCCAGCATGGCCGCGATGGTTTGATTGGCTACAGGCCAGATCATAGTCTGTGTTACATCGGCACCATAGAAGTACGACACTGCGGATGGATAGATCTCCCAGAACTTGCGCCAGTTCCTCGGCTTCCATCCGGACCCTGCGGGTTCAAAGGTAAGGGGCGAAGGACTGCCCTCTTTGAGGCTGACCGAAACGCAACAACCTTGAGCTCTCTAATGCTAGAACTACCTTCAAACCCCTGCTGCCCAAACGTTCCTGTAGACTTCAAATGCCCCAGGCTCTCGTCGTTGCCGGCGTCTTCGCAAGGACCCTGTAGCAAGGTCGCCCTGCCCAGCTCCAAGCAGGCTGGAGAACACCCGTGCCTAAGTCGTCGGTTTAGGGTACTCTGCTCCTGGATGGCAGCCTGATCAGAAAGCATACTTCTACCTTCATCAGGCTAAATTCTCAAGAGTTCATGTGATTCTACGACAAGCCTTTGACTGAAAAGCACCCAGTTGCCTTGCTACCTTGAACCAAGCACTTCTGTGCGGATCTGCGCATCCGCAGGTCTCACCGCAAGTCATGCGCAACAGGCGGCCATCCACTGTATCGCACAGGTCTGCCATCTCCTGCTAATTCTGCTTTCTGATCGACACTTGTTCAGGTGCAAGGGCTTAGAGCTTTGGGCATAGGTCAGATCTTATGGCTTCTGAATAACCTGAATAAAGATAGATCCCGAACACAGGGCCCGGTGCAACAAAAAGCATCCCCACAAGTCCTGGCAACTTGTCACATCCAGACGTCCCAGACTAGCTCCTGAAGTTCGTAGCAGCGCGTCCACCCAAAAGGACAGTGCCGGATCACCAAAAAACACGGCGCCAGGTGTTAGAACCTGATCCTCGATGCAGAAAGGGACCATGCTGGCCTCCAATTCCATGCTTCGAGTTTGATCATTATTGAAGGCCGCCCTATCTGAGGAGAAGAGCAGGTATTTTGGATGTCCTTTAGGCGTCGTCTCTGGAGAGGTCGCCTTGTGGGCATTGACAGCAAGCTCACCGAGGCTCAGGTTCCGGATAAGGATATCATCAACATCCTGGGATGCTGTTAAGGAATTTAAATTAAGCTACTATATTGGGGAAACCCTATTATTTACTACATATACCCATTATGGTAACTTAATTTAAGTTCCTTAACAGCAACCCAGCATCCGGTGTAACAAGTGCATGAACAAGCTGGCTGTCTGGGTTGAAGCCAACCACAAAACTCTGGTTACCACCGCACAGCTCATTCTTGAGGTCGAGCATGGCATCAGTTAGCGGGGCCAGCTGAAGTGTATAAGTCAGAAGAACTAACACCTTGGCTGAAACTGCTCATCCTCAATTCCATTGAGTAGTGTTTGTTCGGTGGTTGAACAACATGAGTTTTTTCCTTTTAGAAAGATGACAACCAAAGAACATTCTACTTATACTATATTATATAAGGAAGTATAGGTTCCCCACTGCAGACACAACTCGGTTGAAATGTTGCGTTCAACAAGGAAGCCCCCGCAGGGGCTTACCCAAGGAGTCTGGAGGTCCTACTAGGGCGCGCATAGGGCGGCTCAGGCGCAAGCAGGGAGATGAAGTGCACGACGGATTCGAGCTCACTTCGTCGCTGGCTGTACTTGACCTGGTTCAAATTTCAGGCTCGAAGGTAGTTTTTACTTCAGGTTTAGGATCCTTGGGGTGTAAAACCCAAATACCCAAACCGTCTCTATCTTAAGGCTGTGATGCCGCATCCCCCTCCCCCTTACAGATCCCAACCCCTCAGCCATACCACCTTAATCCCTCATCCCCACCCTCGAACCTCTAATCCATAAGCCTGACCCCTAAACGCTCAATCCTGCAACTCTGACTCTCTGACTCTGAAACCTGAAGCTGTCCCCAAAACTGACACTCAAACCCTTAGACCTGCATGGGCTCGAGGCTTTGAATTGCATGCTGGATCTTGATAGGCGTCATGCCAACCTTAGTTGCGCAGGGCTGAAGCTTTAGGATCGGGGTTGGAGGTTTTGAAAAAATTCTTTCGGCCATAGGCCGTAGGCCAGAGAAAGCATAGGAGTCGTCAATGTGCCCACGAGAAAACCGACAAATGTTACTCAGCTACTCAGTCACAAACAGGAACTCATCAACATCCAAGATCGCATTGAGTGCCACAGCATTCCTTAGCTCACATTACCCTAGGAAGAAAAAAAGGATCCTTTTCACATAGATATAATGAATCCCATACCCAAGAACTATAAAGGCTCCCTAACAGTGATCCAGCATGCAGCATCAGCTCGGATATTGATGTCGTTCGTGCCAGCCAAAGGATGCCCGCAATCAGCAAGACTGTAGCTATCACCGTGCGGCAGGTGTAGGTGAGAAGTAGCCTACATGCGCAAATCCACACAGTTTACGATTGAGGGCTACGTCAAGCCCTTGCACCCAGGGCTGTGGCAGAAGAAAACTCGTGAAACTGCAGATCACAAGACGAAAGCTCGACGATCGGTAAACAAACTCTTGTTTTCCTGCTGCGTAACTCATAACACAACCTCTAAGCCCCCAACCCTAATAAAGCGGTTCTGCCTTCGCTGGCCCCCACGAAGCACCAACCGCCAACATCCCTAATCTACGTAGTGTACCCCAAAAAAAACCAGCAAGTGTAACAACTGAAGACGCGCTAGAGGCAACCAGAGGGCATGCTGAAGCGCCCCCAAGACCTCGGCTACAGGATCTGGTAGGAAAGGCCTTAGTCTACTCGAGGGTGCAGTCGAATGATAACCTACCTAGCACCCTAAACCTTAAACCCTAAACCCTAAACCCTAAACCCACTGTACTTGTGGGCAACTTGTAAGCCCTCAAAGTTCCCTAATAAGGTGATCATTGCAATCCCTAAGGGTCCATGTACCCAATATTTACGTACTTGGGATATGGGTAATAGTAATTATAGTATAGGTTTTGGGTAAGTATATGACTACTGGGCACTTGGAGCCTTAGGGAATATGTTGCATCCGTATGTTTGCTGATGTCATTTGTGTGACCTGGACGCTGCAGTATGCTGCCCGGCATAAACCCTAAACCTTGGATACTGTCCCTACCCTTCATCAGTGAAGTATGGGGCCCTTACAAAGGGTATGAACTCAATTCGCTAACCATGGTTAGGGACTGTTATGTGGTGGGGGCAGCAGCAACCCTAAACAGTCTCTCCCTGCATCCCAGAGACAATGTCTGGAACGCATTATCGCCGAAGGACGTCTGCCGTGCCTTTGGGATCCCAACTGCTGCCTTCAACAGGGGTCCCTCAGAGGGATTTCAGGTCGGATTCGATTTATTTGAAAGTGGGGCTACATTTAGGGTTCAGGTTTTAGCGAGGTTCAGGGCGCAAGGCTGAGGGCCACATGCATGTAGAAGTATACTGACTGTTTAACAAACTGAGTTACTACCATGGCATTGCACATGATTGAGCCACTGCCTGAAAGCACATTACGAGAAGGTCGCATGAGCTTTCAGAGAGAGAAAGGGCAATTGCATGGGGTTTCTGCCGTTGAGCCGTTCAAGCTCGAGGTTAGACAACGCTGGTCGCGGAAACAACAAGCCAGAGCTTTGGAACGTCGCTAAGGAGCCAGCCTTGGCATGCCAAGCTCCAAAACAAACATCAGCCTCCGCATGATGCCCCATACCCGAAGCACTTGCAAGTAGGAATATACACACATGTCTAAACCCCCTTGTTTCTGGCTAGGTGGACGGGGGCGTCCCAATACACACAGACATTTTGTGTTAAGAGCCCTCAAGCACCGTTTTTGTTGGGACGGATTCGCCAACTTTGCGTGCAGGATTTCCGACCGCAAACCCTAAACTCCTAAGCCTAGACCTCCGATCCGTCGGCGCCAAATCCTGTAGATATGGGAATTTCCTGGAAGCCCTTGCTCTCTAAGCTCTCCACTCTGTAGCATTCATAGAAAGGCCCCAAAGATTTTTCTCAAGCAACAAAGGGGCACAACCCCTAAGCCTTAAGACTTAACTACCTGTGTAATTTTGGGGTATTTTTCCCCTCCCGCTTGGCTGTTACGGGTACAAGCCCCACAGCTTTTTAGAACTGGAAACCCTGAACCCTGCCACTCACGAGCCTCCAGCTGCACCCAAATCCTTCGGTACTCCTGCGAGGGTGATTACGGGATTACTAACGCCAATAATGGAAAACCGGATGGACAAAACATGGAGAATGAAATGGAACCTGGGACTATGTAGAGGTTTATATGAATCCCTTTTGGGGAGTCCCATAAAAAAGATTGTACTACGTTGGGCTCCATATTGGGGGCCCCTTACTATATATGGAAACTAGCAGCTTGGAGTATGCCAGGGAATCTCAGACTTCACAAGATCGAAAAAAGTGTTCGGAGTTTCTGCTTGGGATTACATAGAGGGTACATGGAAATCTAGCCCCCAAAACATGGGAGTCTTCCTGAGTTTGCTTGGGTTCCCTTCTGCGGGAGTTTTGCAGCTTTTTGGGCTATCCTGTGGGTCAAGACTATGAAGCAGAACTGGGTTTAGGATGAAGATGCTTGATACCCAAGTATAGCTGGCAATCTCTCAAGATGCAAAATGCGAAAATGGAGCGTTCATCCCACTCAAGGTCATCAGCAGATAGCCTACCGGCAGGGGTCCTCCTGGCTAGCCAGAAACATTTTCTGAAGTCCCAAACCCCAAACCAGCACCTAGGAAAAGTCGAGTCACATCCAACACGCAGTGCCGAACTGCGCCGTCATCAACAGGCAATACTAATGGTCCCCTTGCGCTCCCAAAATGATGGGGCGCACCCTGGAGCCGGCTTATAGTACAGGGGCCACTGACAGCCTGCCTATGGAGGTGCGTGAAGTTGGTCCTTGTAGACACACAGCGTCCACAAGACGATGCAAAGCATGCCTGCATTGAAGCAACGTTTAGTCTCGGGCGGGGTTCTTCTTGCCTTCACCAACGTGGTTTTTTAAAAGGCAACCCGGAAACATTGAGGGTTCAAACTTTGACCCCTTCCCGGAAACCCAAGCCTGGACAGCAAAACCCTACAACGATTCAAACCTCCCCAAAAATACCCTCTACTGCTGGATCCTCAGTAAGTTGGAAGATTATCAGAAGATTATCACCTTTTCGGTTTTTCAGCTTTATGTAACTGCACAATATATCCCTACATGACTCTGTATAACCCTACCGTAGGACCGAAGTCTTAATGTAAACCCTAAGCCTTAGGGTTTACAGTAGGACTTCGGACTAAACCCTAAACCCTAAACCCGTAAACCTACGGTAGGGCCCTAAGCCGCTTCTTTCTTCAGAAGCCGGGCCCCGACAAGTTCAATGGTAGTTTCCTAAAATTACATAGTTAGGGGTACCTACTATAATGGAGAATCAAATGGAAAAGAAAATGGAAAATGAAATGGAAACCAGGAGTATATAGTGGATTATAGGGAAAAGGGTTTCCCAAAACTAGGGGTACCATTTTTGGGGGTCCCTATAATAAGGACTATAGTATATTGGGGTCAATATTGGGGTACCCGAATTTTGGGAAACTACCATAAAGACCAAAGTTGCAAACCCAAAAAGCTGAGGATTCTCCCTTCGACGCAGCATGCAGTATGCCTTTAGGGTTTAGGGTTTAGGGTATATCTAACCCTACCCACATCTAAAGCCTAAACCCTAACCTAAATCCTAGACCCTAAACACTGAAGCCTACACCCCCTTTAAAGGGACCCCCCAATATTTGATGTGCGGCTAAGGCTCAGAGCAACACCCCCGGCTGGAAGACGGGCAGGTCAAACTGCTTCTTCTCCATACCCAGGAAACCTGACTTTAACTTTAGGGTCTTTAAAGCCCCTAAACCCTAAACCGTAAAGCCTCCTAAACCCTAAACCCTAAAGCCTCCGAAACCCTAAACCCTAAAGCCTCCGAAACCCTAAACAAACCCTAAAGCCTCCTAAACCCTAAACCTGTTTGGAGGGTTTAGAGTTCAGGGTTCAAAGTCTGGGTGTCAAAGCAGGGTTAAGGTCTCGTCCCCTTACCCAGTAAGCCTGTTGCTAATTTTTCTCTACCTTCCCAAGAACTCGGATAGAAATTACGTCATTCCACCTCTTAGGGTTACTAGTGGCAAAAACTGAACATGATGTTCAGGGTTCAGGGAACTTCTAGTTTGCTGTCGGGTTTGGGTCGAGGAATAGTCGCAGTAATACCGTCCTAAACCCTGCAGTTGAAAATACTATAACAAAAAGAAAACTTAAATCTTACTATGTAAGACTAGTGTAATTCATCCGAGTTTGAATACTACCCACCGTCACTTTAACGTTTAGGGTTCAGGGTCCCTGGGCACAAAAACAAGGCTACGCTGGGTTAAGGGCTTCATACCCACAAAACTTGCGACTCTTTCTCAAATACTCCCTGCCTGCAGAATCCCAAAGAGGGGCCCGTATAATCTTCATGCTCCAGGACACCCCTGCTGGGGATTGAAAGGCACCCTTTTTTAGAATCTCCCACCCAACTTTAATTTAAGCCTATGCAGAAGGACTATGCCGAGTTAGGGCTGAATGATCACAAAACGCAAGCTCCAGCTTCTGAGAAGTGCAGCAAAAAGGTTTCTAAGGCTGCAGGTATTTACCCTGATGCCCTAAACCCTATCCATCATCATCACAAGGTCCAAGTTCCCTTTCTGAAGGGATGTGGAGGATTGAATGGGGTTTATGTTAGATCAGCGCCCTAACGTGGGCCTAATATACATCTATGCGTATACTGGGTTGCCTTTAAGGAACTTAAACTAAGCTACTCACTAGAATAAGTAAAACCCATTATTTGCTCTATGCCAATATTATGTAACGTATTTTTAGTTCCTTAACAGCAAGCCAGTGTATGTACAGCTGTTGCATGTGCACCGTCACCAGAAACCCTGGAAGCACGTGACGCAGCATTGCGTAAGGGCATCCCCTATAAGGAGCCCACACGAAAGTCTGAGATAACCAGCCAATTAATATTTCGTTCTGATTACTGCTATTATGAGTGCGACAATTTGAACCATTATTATCTTTACTACCATTATTGGTATCACCATTTCTATTATAAATACTATCACTAGTCACTAGTTACTTGAACTACCACCTAGTATTACGAGGACAAAGACTCCCACAGCAAGCAAACGCAGCCCGCTGGCGGGGGGAATACGTGAGGTACTGTACCCTAAACCCAAAACCCTAAACCCCAAACCCTAAACCCTAAACCCTAAACCCCCAAACCCCAAACCCTAAACCCTATACACTCCCTGTGTAGGCCTCAGGATGAATTTGAATAGGGGGGGGGTTCCTAAAATTAGGGGTACCTTTAAAGGGGGATATAGGGGTTATATAGGATTACATAGGGTTACATGAGGTTATATAGGGTTTAGGGATTAAGGTTTAGGGGTTTCCTAAAATTAGGGGTAACTACTATAATGGAGAATCAAATGGAAAAGAAAATGGAAAATGAAATGGAAACCAGGAGTATATAGTGGATTATAGGGAAAAGGGTTTCCCAAAATTAGGGGTACCATCTCCTTGTAATAAGGACCATGGTATATTGGGGTTTATTGGGGTCCCCTTAGTTTGGGAAACTACCATATATATAAACTGTCAGGCTAAGGGTTTAGGGTCTTAGGGTTCAGGGTTTAGCGTTCAGGGTGAACACACGACATGGAAATTCCTCAGAATTTCTACGCGGTCGTCTATGGGGATCCCCATGAGGTAGTTTCCACAAGTAGGGGGAACCACAAACAGAAGGTAATCCTTATTGTAAGGGCTCCGCAAAAACAAAGGCCGAATTTGTGGAAACCCTATTCCCTAAAAACCCTCCATAGTCCGAGTTCTATTTTCAAGTTCCTTTTCCGGTTGATTCTCCATGATTGAGGCAGAGTTCCACTAAACCCTAGTTTGTATAAGGATTTCTTGTGCAAACCCAATGTCAGGGGGAGCTGATCAGCCCAAGCGGCTGTTGACGTGTTCAACCAAGGTGGCTTGCACAGTGGAGAGAATGACAGACCCATCTCCATTGCAAACTCGAGTCACCAAGCTTGTTCCCGCCAGGTCCATGTATCTCAGGGCTTACGCTTGCGTGAGGGTTGGGCTTCTACATAGGCTGAGGCAGCCCTGCCATGGCTCTAAACAAGGACTAGTCTACTATACCCCTGAAAACAAAATGATATATGTATATATATATGTATGTATATATATATATGTATATATAACTGCGAGTTTTTGGCCACAGTGTCAGGAGGATTGACAGGCTTCAGAGTTCCGAGCTCCAAAAAAAGACGCGTTTCCGAATACCCCACTTGTAGTCGTGTGCGATACTCGTTCTCCATTCCCTGGCGCTGTCAATCTTGGTCCCAAAGTCTTCGCCCATGAAGGCAGGGGTCAGCAGAATCACGGAGAATGCCGTCTGCATGACCAGGTTTAGAAGAACCAACGCCCCAGCGAAGATATGATCGAAAATCCCCACATCGATCAAGCCAGCCATTAATGGGATGCTCCAAGCGCTCTCCTCAAAGGAGACCTGACGACTGGAAAAGAATCGAATCCCGAATTGGATGGTCCCCTCCGCAGAACAATGACATACCTTGCCTCCTGATGCTATTTACTCTTCCACCTTGGAAGCTAGACGATCAATGGGGAGTGTTCTGGGCACAGGGGTTCTGTTGTTGTGGGCAAGCCTTTTGGTTGTATCCTTCCTTCGGGTTACACGCCCGGCACAATCATGCAACAGATCTCCAAGCGAGTCAAGTTTCTGCAAAGGCCTTGCCACCACTTGAACACAAATCAACCGGGTGTTCCAGCTGTAAAGCCGTCCCATACCCAACACCATACATCCTGAAGATTGAAACAATCCCAAGCCAGAAGCCTAGCTAGCCGGCCCTGCGCACCACTACCTGGACGCCTTTGAAGCCGCAATCCTCTTGTCCTCTTATCAAGATTTCTGAAAACAGCCAGTGCCCGAAGAGTAAGATCAATGAATTGCAAGGGTCTGGCAAGAATGTGTGATGGGCTAGGGCCTTGTGCTAAACTCCGAAAGTACCCATAAAAAGCTTTATAACTCTGAACCCCCCCCCCCTTTTTGTGACAGTTTTTTACAGGGTTACCCGCGACTCTTTTTAGCAACATATATAACTTATAACATCCTCGTAATGGGCACCCCTGCTTTTCTTCATAACGCCCCTTGAAGGGCTGCCGTACAACCTTTTAAGCCCGAACGCTACACCCTGAACCCTAAACACCAAGCCCCTAAACCCTAAATTCCTAGCCCTAAACCAGAAACCCTAAACCAGATATACCCTAAACCTTAAGCCCCTAAACCCTAAAACCCTAAACCAGAAACCCTAAACCCTACAAGCTCCAACCTACCTCGGTAAACTCCTGGATTTTCTTGCCACGCTTGCTGCGTCCGGACTGGCTGCCGTCCGCCGCTTCAGTCTGACTTACCTCAGACCCGATGACCTGTAGGGATCTAATCACAGAGGTATCGTAAAGGGATATACAAGGCTATCTATGGTTTACGGGTTGGGGGCCTGAAAAATTGTGGAATGTAGGCCAATCAAAATGGAAGCAAGATGAAAGATGACATTCCTGGCAGTCTTTATGCATATGTAATACGGATATTTGAGACTTGGGGTTGAGGCAATTAAAGGGTTTTGGTCACCCCAACCCTCATGCAAGGACCCTGAAAGAATTACATGACCATCATGGGGTCCTCATTGTAGTAGGGGTACAATCCTTTTACTAACCTCCTGGCCGACTCATTGCAAAATACAGCGCGGAGTTAGGATGCGCGAGCTATGGTTCTCAAGTATCAGGGAGGAGGACAAGGTGTCTGGATTGGTGCGAGCTGCTCAGCACTAACTTACCAGAACCCTAAACCCTAAACCCTAATGAACGACCAAGCCCAAACCATGCCGAATTATCGGGCCTCTTGATTTTCAGAATGCCCAGCCTGGTTTGATTCCAGCACCTCCAGGTGAGCCCATCACACTTTACTGGGTTGCTGTTAAGGAACTTGAACTAAGCTACCATAATACCGGTATATAGTAATTAACTTGGTTTCCTCTATGTAGTAACTTAACTTAAGTTCCTTCACAGCAACCATGCAGGATCCGGGCTTTGCGGCCGGAACGTCGGGATGAGGGCTTTATGGAATTTACGGGCTAGGTCCGTGACCGAATTTCAGGACTAGAGACCTAAGATTTGGGACTTTCAGGTGAGACACAGGTGAGGGCAAATCATAGTTTGCTTCTGCAATGAGATTCTGACCTCAACCACCCTGAACCCTGGGTTGAGGCTTTCGGTATGAATCTGCGAGTAACCCAAAATTGTACATCCCTAGGCCTCTACTATCTCCCAAACGGACCCTCCAAACCCCCCAAGTCCCTGAACAAAGTCTTTAAACCTCAAGTGAGTAGCCCCGGAAGTTAGGGTCTGACATGAGGACCTATGTGAGCTATAGTCTAAACTCCTAGTATCCCCCTTAATAAGCCCTATAATAGTCCCTTATAGAATCCCCTATATAAGCCCCATTAAGGAGTTTAGACTATAGCTCATGTAAAGTTCAGTCTAAGGGTTAAAAGAAGAAAAGAACACGCAATGCAGGAGCCCTAAACCTCTTAACTTCGCAAGGGGTCATGGAGGCGTGAGCACCAAAGTCAGCAACTGATATGTATTTGCGATAGCATCTGGAGTTTTCTGACGAGTCTGGCGTATGGGTCCCTTTCTTGGGCTCGCCGACCTTCTGGGCCTGCTGAGCGGGCCTCCAAGAGACGCTAGTGCGAACATTTGTGGCCCCTGATTGACTGAAGTCGATCCCCAGACCCTTATAAACCCAACTAGTCAAGGCCTCAGCGTTGGTGCTGAAGGCCTGGTTGCTGACCTGAGCCATGTAGGTGCGCGAAACATGTAAGCTTGAAAGAAGGACCACGGCATGGGCTCAAAATTTGCTAGTTGCAAAGACCCCAAGACTGCGACCGCTAGCCATTTAGCGTCCCAAACCCCACTCTAAGTAATCCCAGCAACACATTACACAAAACAACCCTGGCATACCCTGGCCCTACAACACCCCAGGCTGCGTAATTCCTGAAAGCCAGGCAGAGAACGCATGTTCTATGCGGACCCCACAGCTCATAAATGGAGAGACCGCAATCTAGGCCCCAGAAAACTATGATCCTTCTAAGGGACCCCAAATATTTGGATTTGGAAGCTTTCAACGCTGAATGGAACCCTAAAACCCCCGATGGGGGTACTTGACAGCGACCCCTAACTTTTTGGAAGCCCGGTACAACCCTATAACCCCAATGGAGACCCTCAAGAAAGGGACCCCGTGTTGAAGTACTAAGGGGCTGGGTTGCTAAGCAACTTGGTCTCCAGGATCGAATCAGCCTCGTCAGGTTGCTGATTGTCCCTGATTCCGTTTTGGGGGGTTCCCCATAGGAGTTATAAGGGGTTCTATAGGTGGATACAGGGGGAGGTTTAGGGTGTAGGGTGTAAACTGAAGAAACTTGTGCATATGTCTTCTTGGCTTTATCATAACCAGTTCACACACACATTTATGATGATCCAGTTTAAACTTCGGCCCTCTTTAAGCTGGGCACTTCTACGGGGCACATGCATGCTACTGAAAAGCCTAGGTGGGCCTATGAAAAGCCTTGCAGGTGCAATTTACTGTTGGCGGCTTGCAAGATTTGCTGCGCACCGTCGGCATTCTCTAGGCCACGCTGCGATTACACAAGTTGTTTTACCCCGACATTCATATGTGGACATGCAGCTGCGTGCCAAGCCCTATGTTTTTGACAAGCTGGGCTACTTCCAAATGTACATCTTCCGTGTTTGCAATGTGACGTTCCTCTACACCGCCCACACCAAACAGCCAAATGCCCTTCAACGTCCAAGCTCAGCGACTTTCAATTGATGCCGCGTGCCCTGAACAAATCCTCCAACTGACAGCAGCTTAAGTTCCTAGAGGTTCCTAGCAAGAAGGGAGCAAGATACGTGTCATCAACCGCAATTCGAGACTGAGGCGGAACAAACGCTGTACGCTGCATATAAAGATTCCTACATTAGCACTCCTTGACTCATCGGAATGTCAGAGCTTGCTATAGCGATAAAGATGAATCTTTAAGATGACCTGGGGCCGAGCAATGATCATGGCCAGGTCTTGTCCTTCATGCGCAAAGTCTATGCACACTGCAAAAAGCAAACCCAGGGAAGCAGTGTATTTCCATTCAACTCAGCAACGCGAGCCTTGTAACTGAAACCAAGCTTTGCCTCCACGGCCTCAGGACATTTGAGCGCTTGCCGTTCCTCTCTGCTGTAAGTCTACAGGAGTTGTTACGCATTCTGGCAGCGCACTACGATGGATGGATGGATGGATGGATGGATGGATGGATGGTTGGAGCAGAAGGTAGCGCAAGATGTTTGTTGTCTTCAATGTTGTCTATGGTACATTTCACACACAAAAAGACGCTCGAGGCGCTCAGTGCATGGAATGACTGAGACTCTGTTTAAAGTGAAGCCGCTCAAGAAAGAGCCATTGGGGCACAGATGCTCGTCATGGTCGTCCACGATATCAAGTTCAAAGCCATCAGGAATGCTCAATGCAGGGGCTGGCGGAGATAACTTGTAAAAGCTCTTGGCAGCGCGAGCAGGAATCCAAGACTCCAGTAACAATTTACGTTGCACTAGAGCACAGCTGCATGGGCACGCACCCAAGCGTGTGCACACAGAGGAGCGTGAAGTGGACCAACGAAAGACTGAGAAGTGCCTAATTAAATCAAGTCAAATCCGGCAGCACTGCAAACACTCCAAACGAGTAGCACACAGTCTCGGGATCCCTAAACACCATAACACATTATAGTAGTTTCCATTTCTTCCATTACCCCTCATATAACCTCACTACAAATTCATGATACGAAATGAAAGCACCTTGAAGGATCACTGTTGACAAATATGCGGCTTACTACACTCCAACTGTATGAATCTCAAACGCTGAACTTCGCCTAGTTGAGTTAGTGCGTCGTGCCTGTAGGCGCGCCGTGATTTGCTGCAGATCTGCTTGCAACTGATGTCGAAGTGCCGCGAACCTGGGTCTGAACATCGGAAGTTCGCGGCTTCAACTTCTGGACTATTAAGGGCTTAGGATTAGAGATTTGGGACTTTCAGTTTAGGCCTGAACAGTATATTGAATAGAAGATCTTACAATAATTCATGGCGACATGGCGACCCCTCAACATACAGCTGAGGACTATAATTATGAGGCCGTGGACAAAGTATGGGTTCACTATTTAGGGGTCCCCGTAATGAGGGCTATAATACTTTGAAGTCGTACATTCAGCTACCCCTATCTATGGAAACCCCTACATGGAAATTTGATTGGAAATTGCTCACGCCTCTACCCTAAACCGTTTCAAATTCAACGCCTCCAGCAACTACTGGGCAAACATTTAGGATGGCTCCATTCTCCACCCTCACGTGGGGATC